TTCATGCTGAACCTTTTCACGTTGCTTAAAGTAAGTTGATTCTTCTTATTTAACAATTACGTTCGTGATGTCATGATTAATAACATTTTCAGATTTTGAAAACGGCTTATTCGATCTTTGCTATGTTGAAAAATACACAGAAATGAGATTCGCTATTGTAGAAATGAACATTTGATATTTAAACCTTGAATAAATTGATGTGCATACCAACCATTAATGGAAATATATACTCCTTTCAAGGGTTTAATTGTGAAAAACTTATATTATTTACAGCACCAAAGAATATTCGCACTTCATTCTAATAGAAAGAAGTTAGTGAAGAAACTTAAATGAGCATTGCAACATGATGTCTCGTAACCTTTTATTAACAAAAATAGAAAATATTAGAGATGAGCTCTTCAATTTAAAGAAAATCAACATTTATTGTAATGGAACGAAGTTAGTAGAGAATGGATTTCCATTTCGTGGCATTTTGAAAATTATAAAATCAAAAATGTTGCACGAAATATGGAAAGCCTTCTTGTTATTTATTATTCATCCGATGAAATTCAAAAATCTACTTAATTCCTTAAAAAACATGTCTTTGGTTATTCAAATTTATCAAATATATTGTTCGATATATGTTGCCTTATTTCAAATCTACTGCGTTACTGAAATTAACATAAATATCAACGTTTGTTTTCTCTCTTTTTTTGTAAATTGGAGGCAATTATGTGAAAATAATGTCAGTCGTTTTATTGAACTTTACCTTGGGGTCTTTTCTAACAGAAGAATTTTTCGGCTTATAAGACCCGCTTCGCACTAGTATCTTTAGTCAATCAAGTTCAGTCCACTTTCGTCGCAACAACGAGACAACGACAGCAATATCATTAATTTCCATTTTTAACAATGAATTCTAGAACTGTTTTGAAATGGCACATCAGAGTGTTCAAAATGTGTGGATTGTGGCCACCAGAAGATGGTTCAATTTTGTACAGCATTTGGGTGGTTATTTTCACCGCACTCGTCAACATTGCATTTCCGATTTCTCAAATAATTTGCGTTTTGTGGGTGGATTCAGTCGATAAAGTTGTTGATCATCTGATCCTTTCGAGTACTGTCGTAATGGTAGTAATCAAGGGACTAAATGTTTTGGCAAAAAAGAAGACGTTTGCCAACTTACTTCGTTTGATGAGAGATTTGGACGCAACCATAACTCTGGAAGAGTACGAACAGAATTTTGAAGCAAAATTTAAACATTCGAACGCTTTGCTGTTGTTATTTTCGATTAGCTACTGTTCGTGTCAAGTATTCGCCACCATTCAAACGATCATGTCCGAACCATCACAAAAACTGTGGACATGAACTTACTTGTATCCAAGCGATTTTCTTCATCGTCGTGACATTTATGTGGGGGGACTTATCTTTCAGGCGACATCAAACTGCTTTTTGGTTTTAATCGACATTGTTGCAGACACATACGGACCGATTTTAATTCATGTACTTGGAGGTCATATTGAAGTTTTGAGCAAACGTTTTCAAGAACTTGGTAAAAATTGTGAGAACATTGATGATTATAAACACCAGGAAAGAGTTTTGATTGATCTCTGCAAGCGATATCTGCTGATCATAAGGTTTGGAAATTTAATTTAATAATTGATTAACTCCAAAAGGTGCTTAAAACTACTGCAGAGTATAATGTCATTCGCTCTATTCTCGCAATTTGGTGTAAGTGGATTGGTTTTGTGCACGTGTGCTTATCAACTTTCTGTGGTAAAAATTTGTTTTGAATTTTGAGTCAACTCTCTTTTTGAAATGGGCAACGTACATTTTTAACTTTTAAACCTTTTAGGTCAGTCCAACAGAAAGCCCGTACAAATTCATCTATATTACATTTTATTCTTTTGCCATGATCATTGAAATATCTGTTCCTTCGTATTTCGGTTCTTCAGTATACTTCAAAAGTGAAAAACTTTCTTATGGCATTTTTAAATCAAATTGGATGTATGCTTCTGAAAAATACAAACGATCCATGAGCATTTTAGTCGAAAGAACTTTAAGGGCAATTTCCATTGTGGCCGGCGGTATTTTTATGCTCAACCTAGATACTTTCCTCAAGGTGAGTTGGTGAATTTTGCGCAAATTATACTCGAAATTAAAAATGTTTTTTTTTAGATTTTAAAAATGGCATATTCGATTTTTACTATGTTGAAGAAGATTTAGAACGGATTCTACCTCATTTGGATAAAAAATCATATAATTATTTTTTGATATAATTTTTAAAGTCCTTCATGTCAAGGCGCAAAATAATTCAAAATATTAAGCGAAGAAATAATTTCATGTCTCTATTGAAAACTTGAATAATACACTCAATAAGCTTTTAAATATTCATGTTCGCGCATAACCGATATAGAATGAAATGAGGCTGACAATGTTATGGTGGTTAAAACTGTTTTCAGTCATTTGAAAACAAATATTCTATCCTTTTAATTTTTGGAAATCTACTTTATAATTATTCATTGGAAAAACGATATTTTCAAACAAACGCAAATTGTCTTTGTGAATTCAAATCTATTATTTGAAATGAAATAAACTACTAATGTCTATTCAATCAAAATCGAAGGTTTCCAATTCGGAATATAGTTTACTAATTTTATTGCCGTAGCTTTTCCTGGTACAATTCACGATGAAAAGGAAAATGTATACTATTTAAGGATTCTGAAAAATTAAGTTTCAAGTTAATAGCTTATATAATATATTGTCGACTCTAAAGCTATAGGGAACACAAAATTAATTCAAATTAACGAGAAATGATTGAAAATTGATTGTATGGAAAAGTAGAAAGTGATTTTCAAAAATCGGTTCGAACTATCGAACTTCGAATTAACAAGGATAGACTGTACTTTAGGTTATGAGTAGTAAAAAGCAAAGACGATTTTAAAGCTTGATTATATGTCAAGCAAAAATGCATTGATTTATTTCTTTGATACAAAAGAAGAGAGCTATTTCGATTTGATACAATCAAGGATGAATTAAAATTGGCTTGTTTTTTATTCCGTATTATTCAACTATTTGTACTTTGTAATCAAATATTTTGTGGTTTTTGTCCATGAAAATATTCTTATTACGTATTCAAAGCTAGATTCAAAGGGTGTCCTTCAATTTCTACCTATAAAAGAGCATATTTTTCGTTGATTTTGCTAGTATGATAACAACAGTGGTTTAAATCTTTTGAATATTCGAACATTTACTGGAATTTCGATTTCAATTCTGGAAGATGGATTCTCGACTTGTTTTGAAATGGCACATCAGAGTGTTCAAAATGTGTGGATTGTGGCCACCAGAAGATGGTTCAATTTTGTACAGCATTTGGGTGGTTATTTTCACCGCACTGGTCAACATTGGATTTCCGATTTCTCAATTAATTTGTGTATTATGGGTGGATTCGGTTGATGCTGCTGTTGACCACCTGATCCTATCGAGTACTGTCGTAATGGTAGTAATCAAGGGATTGAATGTTTTGGCAAAAAAGAAAACATTTGTGAAGCTACTTCGTTTGATGAACGATTTGGATGCATCGATTACAACTCAAGAATATGATGATATATTTAAGCAAAAATTTAAACATTCAAACGCTTTGCTATTGTTATTTTCGATTAGCTACTGTTCGTGTCAAGTATTCGCCACCATTCAAACGATCATGTCTGAGCCATCGCAAAAACTGTGGACATCAACTTACTTGTATCCAAGCGATTTTCTTCATCGTCGTGACATTTATGTGGGGGGACTTATCTTTCAGGCGACATCAAACTGCTTTTTGGTTTTAATCGACATTGTTGCAGACACATACGGACCGATTTTAATTCATGTACTTGGAGGTCATATTGAAGTTTTGAGCAATCGTTTTCAAGAACTGGGTAAAAATTGTCGGAAAATTGATGATTATAAACACCAGGAAAGAGTTTTGATTGATCTCTGCAAGCGATATCTGCTGATCATAAGGTTTGGAAATTTAATCTTTTATTTATAATTGTGACATGTTAAATAAATAATTGATTAACTCCAAAAGGTGCTTAAAACTACTGCAGAGTATAATGTCATTCGCTCTATTCTCGCAATTTGGTGTAAGTGGATTGGTTTTGTGCACGTGTGCTTATCAACTTTCTGTGGTAAAATTTGTTTTGAATATTGGGTGAAATCCTTTTTTGAAATGGATTCATTTCACATTCATTTTTTAACTTTTAAATCTTTCAGGTCAGTCCAACAGAAAGCCCGTACAAATTCATCTATATTACATTTTATTCTTTTGCCATGATCATTGAAATCTCTGTTCCTTCATATTTCGGTTCTTCAATGTACTTCAAAAGTGAAAAACTTTCTTATGGCATTTTCAAATCGAATTGGATGTATGCTTCTGAAAAATACAAACGATCCATGCGCATTTTAGTCGAAGGAACTTTAAAGCCAATTTCCATTGTTGCATGTGGCATGTTTCAACTCAACCTGGATACTTTGCTCAAGGTAAACTTATATAGAGCTGCCCACTGAACCGACCGCTTCATGTTCGTTCGGGTTCATTCGAATTCGAACCGAACATAAACGGTATATTTTCAATTTTAAACAATCGAACATAAACCTGAACGAACTTAGTTGAGATGATACTTAAGTTTAAAATGTATTCCTTTTATAGATTTTGAAAACGGCCTACTCAATTTTTGCCATGTTGAAGAAAATTTAGAAAGAAGATGGATTTTAAAGACTTACAGAGTTAAAATATAACATCGAATTGCGTGTTTTAAATTCATGTATAGTGAATCTATTTTGATGAATTGGAATTCAATTACCTAATTGATATTAAACTGAGGTGAACGATAAAAAACATTTACAATATGAGACAAACATATACACAATATTGATTGTTGACATCACGATATTTGTAATGAATACCGCTTTTATGCGCAGCACTGTGGAACCTTTTGTTGCCACACAAATCTATGTGTGAATTCAATTCGAAAGAAAAACTACGTCAACGCATCAAACAGCTTCTGCTTTTCTTCTTCTTCAAGTTCCAGACTTTTGATTTGCACAAAAAATATAATGTACGACACCATTGCACTCAAAATCTAAAATTTATAAAAATATATATCGAAAAATTCAGATGAAATCATAAATATATTAAATTTACCGAATATAAAAAGTTATTGTCGAGCTCAAAGATGCCCCCAACCATAAAGCCCTTTTTCTGGTGCAGTAAATAAATTGAAAACATTTCAATCTACAATTGACAATAACAACATAAGTTGCAATAATTTTCCTCTTGCTATCGAACACACAATCAAAGAACATCTTACCGAACGTTGCAGTCCAAGTGGAAGTTTGTTCAACGAACCCCTGTAAATTATTTTCCCTACTTTGTGCAATTCTCGCTTCAATGTATTCACCGGGAAGAAAATGAAAATCATATCCAGAATGTTGAAAAAGCATCGGACGCCGCTGGTAATTATGAAATCCATATCCTGCTTTTCATTTGAATTCATATGGTCGATCAATAAAAAGAGCTGCACAGAAGAAAAAACCTCAGAAATTTGAAATTCAAAATCGTCATTAAAATGTACCGTTGATGAAAGATGAGCGAATGTTTTCAGAATCGAAAATATTGTTAGATTTGACGATATTTCTTCACAATATCGTGTTAATTTGTAAACTTTTGCATGTAATTTGGTCAGTGTATCGAATCTTTCACTTGTGTCCGGGAAAATTCTGAATCGAACCTTTGGCGATACTATATTGTATGCTTTGTTCACATTATTAATACATTCGGAGAGTGCTTGATTGATGCGTTCACATGAAATGATTTGAATGACGAATGTTGTTTGCAATCGTATGACTGTATTGGCCATCACAAGATCGGGTACAAAATACAATATTTTATAAAAAATCGGTACTGTACTTAACACATCGTTGTACTGGTACAATTTCCTGGCATTTAAAGCCGTATATCCCAAATATAAGTAAAGAAATCGAATCACGAATCCAATGTTGTATCTCTTTTATCGTTGCAAAGGGTTTTACATTCATCAAATGTTGAAAGCGATAAATTGAAATAGTTTAGATGTCTTTTCGAATAAAATGCGATTTGAATGTAAATAGCAACTGTGAATAAATACATCGCAATATGATTCGTTACTTCGATGAAAGCAAGGACGCTTCCTTCCGACAGCGTTTTTGTTTTAGATAAAATCATTATGATTGCAAGTGGATAGGTTACGGTGAATATGCAACCACAAATGAATGAATATAATCGCCAAAAATTGGATTTTGACATTTGGCGCTTTTTAAAATCAAAACTCAGAGCCAATAAGCCAAATTGGCGAGGTATCACCAAAACTAAGAATGAAAAATAATTCAATATGGGCGACACCGTGTTTGAACTCATTTTGAATCCAAAATAATGTTAATAAGCACTTTTAAGAACTGATTAAAATACGTTGAACTTTGGAACGTACGTCGGGTGAATACCCAGCAATTGAGAGATTAGATAAAAATGCAACTATTCACCAGGTTTTATGTTACAAACCAAATATGGAATTATTCAACTCGACACTAGAGCCCGTGAATTAACTTTAATAGCATGTTCAAGTATTAATTCACTGCCAAGTAATCAACTAATGCATTTTAATATATTTAATTCAGCGTATAATGGCCCAAGCCCAGCTATTATTATAAGCTAAATTGAATTGCTGTTGAATAGAATAGTCGAACATTAAGACAAAGAGTAACAATGATAAAACCGCTAATTAAATATTGTGTGTTACCAATTCTGTGATTTGTTCCATTACTAATATAATATGTGCAATCATTTTAATAGTTTCTTCCCACATTAATTATCATTAACTTTTGGATGTGCAATGGAACATTATGAAAATTGCTAGGGAGGCATTAGTGATTTTTGTTCATTTGAAAAATGACGATCAATTTGTCAAAAATATTGAGAGAATTCAGGAGGACCCGAAACGCACGTATTTTGACCTCCCGCTATGAACCAAATTGATGCAGCAATTATGAAATTCTAAAAATAGATTTGCTTCGTTTCAAATTGCTATAAATAGGGTTGAGAATTTCAAATCGATTTTCAGTAAAAGTAGTTATATTCAATTCACAATTTGAGTTTTTTGTTTTTCAAAAATGAAGTCATTTCTCGTGTGCTTGTATTTGTGCATAAATTCAATAAGTTGTATTAATATTTTGAATAAAAGTGATAATGAAGCACAAAATTTGAGGGTAATTTGATGAGTCTGATTTAAATCAAAAGTGTTGTAAATTAATTGAAATTGTTTGAAGGCAGGATTTTTTGATTTTCTATTCGGTGACCAGTCAACAAAAGTGGAAACGTGCAAATGTAAATGTGGAGTACCGAATCGTCGACAACGTTTACTTGGTGGCACTGATCTGAAACCGTATGAATTTCCATGGATTGGACAAATCATGATTAAAGATTCGGCACCGATTGAAGCAACGCTGATCAATGATCGATTTGTTATAACAGCCGCTTCGACCATTTATGGTTATTCGCCGTACAATATGAAAGTTGTTTTGGGCGTTTACGATAATTGTTATGCGGACATTACATCGGACACGTTTAGTGTTTCAAGTCTAATAATTCATCCGGAATTTCAGTATATAACACGCACCAACGATATAGCACTAGTACGGCTCAGTACAGTCGTGCCATTTGAGAAGCGAATCTCACCTATTTGCTTACCAACACCCAGTAAAAATCTTTTTATATTTTTAAATGATATTTTGAAATTATAAATCTTTGCTTATTTCGATTTTAGAGATGAATTATGAGCGAAAAGTAGCGACGATTGCATCATGGTTTGAAGGTAAATGGATGTGAGTCATTTTTTTGTTGAAATAAATCAATTGTAATTTTCTGAAGGGGTTACATCGGACGGTTATGAAACATCCTCGTGCCAACCGAGAAGAATTGATTTGCCAATTGGTGAGCACGAAAGCTGCACAAAAGCCACTCAAGAATCACAGGGTTGCGTTGGAGTTGTTGGTTCACCAAGCATACTTTGTAGAGACGATGCCGGCAGTGGAGTTCTTTATGGCACATCAGCGGGATATTATGAGCTGATTGGCATTTTATCTGATTATCAAAGCTGTGCAGCAGCTTCTCTGCATACTGCTCCAAAGGACGATGATCTAAGCTTACCCATATACACGAAAGTGGACAGTTACTTGGAATGGATTTTATTTCAAACAAAAGGTTCATGCTACTGTAATAAAATTTAATAAAGAACTATTATAATAAAAAAGATCATCTTTAATGAACGAAAGTGTGTTGTTTCAATTTATATCCAAGTTCACTTTTTCATAACCAGTTTTTGCAAAGCTCATTGAAATCGCTTTGTGAATAATAATACGTCATGACTCATGAGTTGGTAAATATTTGTTACTGAGTTTTGAGTACTTTCTTTTCTTTATTTTTACCACGAATAAATCTTATTCGATTGAATTTTTGGATCGTCGTTAAGAATACGTAGAAATGGTTGTTTACTATTTACACAAGTTGTTTCGAACAAAATGTGGCTAGCTGACAAAAAACTTAAATATATCTTTGGCGATGAAAAATACAATAGCGATCTGTGGAAGTGGTGACAATGAATCGATTTTATCTTTTACACTTTCGTTCGGGGATTTTTGCGTTGTTATAAAAATACTTTTGTATCTTTTTAAAGAGACAAAGCTATTACGTTTTACAATTCCTTTGCAAATCATTCAAAGATTACCAATTAGTTGTACGCAGAAACACGTAAAGTTTATTTTGCATTTTATTTATCTCTATCATGTGTTATTTACTCAATTTATAATTTTATTGCATACATGCGTTGCTATTGAAATAAAAAACTGAAATAACAAAACACTTTGTTTGAAAAAAGTGGTATATAAAATTGAAATTTTTTCGATCTTTTCAGTGTGAAAACAATCGCGTTGGTATTAAAATGTCGAGAAATTGTGGTGGCATGATCATGCTTGCCGTAATCGTTTTCGTCGTGTGTCTCATAAATTCTGGAGAGAGTGTTGAGTACAAAATAGTGAAGACTAAAAATGGGGCTGTTCGAGGTATTAGTGACACGACAATGATGAAAAATGTCAGTTTCTACTCGTTCAAAGGAATTCCGTATGCAAAAGCACCTATTGGTGAACTGAGATTCAAAGTGAGTTTTATTATGAAGAATATGAAAATATGTGGAAAATTATAACAGAATGTATTTTCAAGGCTCCTGAACCAGATAAATCGTGGGCTCCAGCAATATTGAATGCTACCGCACATGGAAAGAATTGTTTGAGAACAACTGCATTTGACAATGACACCCAATCGCAAAGCGAAAATTGTCTCTTTTTGAATATCTACGTGCCAGGTTTGTACTTAAATTATCGTTCATTGAAATGGCTGCAATATTATTGTCGCTATGATTTATTTTAGCTGATGTTCAGCCCGGTGAAAAGTTAGCTGTTTTGGTGTTCATTCACGGTGGTTCATTTTTGGCTGGTTCTGGCGACGATGATTTTTACGGGCCCGATTTTATAGTCGAAAAGCGTACAATTTTGGTTACATTAAACTATCGGTTGGGAATATTCGGTTTCATCACCTTCAATGCCCCAGAATACTCCGGTAATATGGCATTGAAAGACCAACAATTGGCATTGAAATGGACTCATGAAAATATTGAAAGATTTTCGGGTGACCCGAACCGAATTACTCTCTTCGGTCAAAGCGCTGGCGGTGTTTTGGCCAATTTTCAAATTCTATCCAAAGAATCACGCAAATACTTCCGTAATGCGATTGTTATGAGTGGAACAACTGACAATATGTGGGCAATTTCTGATTCGAATAAACTCTTTGATTTTGCGCACAAAATTGCACGTGAAACGGGCAATCCACAAGAAACTATAGATGGATTGATTAAGTTCTTCAAACAGGCACCTGCCGAAAAAATCGTTAATTACTTAAATGATCCATCATACGTTCGAAGAAATCCCCTTACCATTTATGCACCAATTATTGAAAGTAAGTATGTTCTCAAATATCTTTAACTGTTACTTTACGATTTTTTTCTAATTCCGAATTCAGAGCCGGATGCAGTTCGACCATTTATCACTAAATATCCTGAAGAAATCTATGATGAATGCAATATTAATACTGATGTTATCTTTTCACTGTGCTCCTTGGTTCGTATCGCAAATATTCAATCGATTTGGCTTTGATTTGATTTGATTGCTTGTAGGAATTCGTTACATCTTATGCATCGGAAACACTAATTTCGCTGGAAGAACTTGATCGAAATTTCAGTTTGCCGTTACCATTCAGAGAAGCCATAGATTTATCGTATGATTCGCCGGTAAGTGCCAATCAAATAAATCAAAGTAAGAGGATTATGTAAGCGTAAAACATTTTCCATTTTATTGAAGGAATACAAAAAATTGGCTACTGAAATTCGTCAATTCTACTTTAAAGATGCTGCCGTCAATGAACAAACTTTAAAGCAATACCTTGAACTTTTTTCTGATGTTTATTATGGATATGGAATCGACAAATCAGCAAAACTACATGCCGCCAAATCATCTGCAGATGCATTTTTATATCAGTAAATCGATCTGTTCCGAAAAATTATTTTTATTATAATATGTTTTGTTTCAAATAGATTTTCCGTCAAATCAATATTGAATCTTTCCACACGAATCAATCCAAATGCTAATCTGACCGTATATGGGGCAGGCCATGGCGATGATTTATGCTACATATTCGGGTATTTTTATAAACCTTTCTAAAGCAATTATTCATACTAATTAGAATTATTTTTCTAAAATCAGTTGCCGACAATATCGATCATTTTATAATGAAGTTTTCAGCACGCCAAATGATGAACAATCGAAGGTCAGCTTGAAAACATTTGAGGATATGTCTACATTGTTTACGAATTTTGCCAAATATGGGTGAGTAATATTCAAGAAAAAATGAAAGTAGTGTAAAGAATAACAATCCGTTTGTTTGAAATAATTCACAGAAAACCGATTCGGAATGGTAAACCGATCAAAGGATTCAAACCCATTCGAAAGAATCGAGTGAATTTTCTTGATTTCACCAATGATGGTTTGGCACTTGGTGTAAATCCAAATAAAAAAGCCATCGAATTCTGGACGTACATTGGACAAGAATTAAATGAAATAGTTACATAAATTTGAATAGAAAGACTAAAATAAATGATTTTTATTTTTTATTTCAATTTTTGACATTGTATTAACACATTAAAACATTATTGATGCATTTTACGCTTCTAATTTTCCATTTAAAATACTGTAATTTACGAGTAGGAATTATGCATATTATTATTATTTTTATTATTATGCATTCTTCACATAAATGCCATCATCGTCATCCGAAGCCCGATCATGGTATAGGATGCGATGATATTTTTATTTCTACTGTTTTAATAATTATTTAATCGGTTTATCACGATTGTGACACAACAGTGAGGTTATGACAACTAATTCATTTTTATTAATTTAATATTTTTGAATATTGTGGACAGAAAATCTCACAAAATTAAAAAACAAAAGATTTGTTATTTTCAAAAATGTAAAAAATTAAAATTCATTTATTTCGAGTGTTTTAATTCAACAGTTTAACGCAGTTTAATCGATTCATTATGATTTTGCCAAACTGTGACGGCCATATTGTCACAAACTTCTATTAGTACTCGGAATACACATTAGAGGTGTTGTTAGTTACGGGCATGATCAGGCTTCGTCGTCATCTAATTAAAATATATACATTAATAATGTAACATTATACAACTTATCAATGAATCGCATTGACTCAATTTTTCTACAAAAGCGAGAGAGAAACTGAATGCTCATTCCGATTATAAGATGTGCGAATGTTTTATTATGGTCATAGAACACTATAATTCCAAATGTCAAACTAATAACGATGAAGAAAACAGTTAAATTATTGGTTAATTTTTTTGATTGGACGAAGATGTTTTATTTTATCGCTAAGAATCGTAAATTTTGTTTGCACTCCAAATCATTTTGGGGATTTTTCGTTTTGAATTTAGCTTACATTTGACATAAAATTAAGTTAACTGACTAAACCATACTTTTTATATTCTTTATTTCACCTAATTTTATTACGTGTACGTATTTCAACAATTTTGAGTCGAAATTACAATTGACGTTAAGGGGATTTTTTTTTTAAATTGCTACAATAAAATGGAAAGTAAACAGAGTGTGGTATATAAATTCAGAATTTTAGATTTATTTTTAGTGTGAAAAAAATCACGTTGGTATTAAAATGTCCAGAAATTGTGGTGGCATGATCATGCTTGCCGTAATCGCTTTCCTCGTGTGTCTCATAAATTCTGGAGAGAGTGTCGAGTACAAAATAGTAAAGACTAAAAATGGGGCTGTTCGAGGTATTAGTGACACGACAATGATGAAAAATGTCAGTTTCTACTCGTTCAAAGGAATTCCGTATGCAAAAGCACCTATTGGTGAACTGAGATTCAAAGTGAGTTTTATTATGAAGAATATGAAAATATGTGGAAAATTATAACAGAATGTATTTTCAAGGCTCCTGAACCAGTTAAATCGTGGGCCCCAGCAATATTGAATGCCACCGCGCATGGAAGTAATTGCTTTGGACGGCCCATATTTGCCGCTATTAATCCACCTCAAAGTGAAAATTGCCTCTTTTTGAATGTATACGTACCAGGTAACTAGTTTGATTAACCCCAACTAAAAATGGTCGATTTTGTGTCACCATGAAAGAAATTTTAAACTAATGGTCTAATTCATTTTAGCCGATGTTCAACCCGATGAAAAATTGGCAGTTTTGGTATATATTCACGGCGGTTCATTTTTGGGTGGTTCTGGCGACGATGATATTTATGGTCCTGACTTTATAATCGAGAAGCGTGCAATTCTGGTTACATTAAATTATCGGTTGGGAATTCTCGGTCTTATCACATTTAATACCCAAGAATACTCTGGTAATATGGCATTGAAAGACCAACAATTAGCACTGAAATGGGTTAACGAAAATATCGGACGATTTTCGGGTGATCCAAAAAGAGTTACACTCTTTGGTGAAAGTGCTGGCTCAACTAGTACTCATTATCATCTCCTATCGAGTAAATCTCGACGCTACTTCCGCAATGAAATTGCAATGAGTGGAACAGTTGAAAATATTGGATCATTGTCCGATGGAAATGCACTTCTTAAATTTGCGTACACAATTGCAAGCGAATTGGATAGTCCACAGGAAAGTTTAGATTCATTAATTGCATTTTTCAAAACGGTACCTGCTGAAAAAATCATAAAATTTGTAAATGATCCTTCATATCGTGGAGATAATCCGGTTACGATTTTTTCACCAATCATCGAAAGTGAGTTAATATGCACAATTGCACATGTATGTTGATTATTTGAAAATTTATTTATTTTTATTACAAATTCAGAATCGGACGCAATTCGACCATTTATCACTGAAAATCCAGACAAAATTTATAAAAATCCCTACATAAGCACTGACATAATGTTTTCAGTTTGTTCATTGGTTTGTATTTAGTTGTCTTTCTGTTATCTTCTCCTTTCATGACAATTTTAAATTATTTATTTGCAGGAAATTCTGTCTTTTTATTTGACTGGCTTATTGCAAACTTTATATCCCTTGGAACAGCTCGATCGAAATTTTAGTATTCCGTTTCCATTTAAAAATACCACTTTACAATATGATTCCCCGGTAAATTCATTAATTATGATTTACTATTTAGTTTTAGTTTATTTAATTTTCAAATTGGACCCTTGATTATTCAATAGAAATACACAGAATTGGCAGCGGAAGTTCGCGAATTCTATTTTAAAGATGCAGCCATCAATGAACAGTCTCTGATACAATACCTGAAACTATTTTCTGACATTTTATTTACATATGGGATAGATAAAGCAGCAAAATTGCATGCCACAAAATTATTTGCTAAATCATATTATTTTCAGTCAGTTCATCATCGTGACGACATTAGACAGATTTCATAATTAATGCGATTTGATTATTTCATGCAGATTTTCCGTTGACTCGAAGTTGAATGTTCAAAAACGAGCTGCTTCAATTGGTAAAAATCTGACTATAGCAGGAGCAGTACATGGCGATGACGTGTGCTACATATTTGGTTGTCGGTACTTCCGTTCTTTTTACAATGAGGTTTTCAGTACTCCAGATGACGAGCAATCGAAAGTCAGCTTGAAAACAATCGATAATATGGCAACCTTGTTCACAAATTTTGCAAAATATGGGTGAGAATTGAAATTACTTTGAAATAAGAATTAAGAACAATAAATTATTTTCATTTGAAATATTCGACAGAAAACCGATTCAGTATGGTAAACCGATCAAAGGATTTTCGCCCGTTCAAATGAATCGAGTGAATTTTCTTGATTTCACCAACGACGGTTTGATACTTGGTTTAGATCCAAATGGAGAAGCCATCAAGTTTTGGACGCGTATTGGAGAAAAACTACACGAAAATAATTAGAACTTATGTTTTGACGTCTATGCTATTTCAACAAAATGATTTCAATGGACCAGGACAAAGTATTCCACTATTTCTTCACCGAATTTTTTTTACAACAGAATGAAAAAACGTATTTTTTTTAAGCCAATGTTTTTTTATGAATTTTTCTTTGATGATATATTCAAACCACAACGTTACTGTCGTCATGTTAAAAAAAAGTAATTTGGATTGTAAAATAATAAAATGAATAACAATTCGTGGAATCTATATCTCTGCTGACGTCTTTTTCTCTCTTCCAGTTTTAATATGATATGTTAATTTTCAGAATCATTATCGTTCTTAATTTTGCACTTATTGAACATTCACATGTGTTCATCATATTAAAAACTGTTCGGTTTCTATGAAAATTTTGAGTCAGATGTCATTTTAATTGTAAATTGAACAAAAATACGTGAAGAAGAAGAACGCTTTTGATGATTTATAATGAAATGTGGCACGAGTGCGTATTTCATTTTATCATCAAATTCGTAACATTCAAGTTGTGTAGAATTTGTTCAGTGATGGCGAAACATAACGGAGTTTTTTGGGTTTCTTCCGTACATTTTTCGGTTTTAATGCTCACAATTCTTGTGGGACCATCTGTTTTGGCAAGAGATTTGGGACTAAATGTACACAAACTAGAACCGATTAAGTTGAAGTTTCCAGATATTCCAGAGCGAAAAGGACCCGCGGCAATTGAGTACGTAAATGATTTATTGACACCGCTGAAATCAGGCGCAAGTGATAAAGATCCGAATTTGATAATGACCGGTGAAAGTTGTGCTCGGGGTTTGGGTAGCTTATACATTGTGTGAGTGAAATAACATCACATCGTAAGAGAACTCTACTGATATTGAACGACTTTTTTTTAGAAAAACTGATGAAGGAGAAACATTATATACTTTATGTTTCAATGATAAAAAGGCGAGTGCGATTTATACCACGCATATAGTTGACTTGGCTAACAAAAGTATTTAATATAACATTTCAACCGAAAATTGTTTCTAGATTTCACATTACCTTTTCAGCGCTTGAACGTTCTAAGCATCTTAGTTTCAAAGCAAAATACACATTGCGAGGCTGGAATTTGAATTACTTATACCATGCTGGAAATCAAACGCAGGCATTTAATGAAAAATTCATTCCGTTTACGGACCCGGAAACGAGAAAAAATAAATATTTTTCGCGAAATCATTTAACTCCACACGCTGATTTCGCATTGATCAAGCACCAGACATTGACGTACTACTTTCATAACTGCTTTCCAGGTATGCGTCGCTTACAATAATCAAATTCACTTCAATTTTTATTCAAACATTGCATTATTTTTGTTGATAGGAATGCAATCAATGAATGTTGCGGTAAGAGAACAATTGAAATATTGACCAAGTGAATGTTTTTGTAATGGAATGAAATTTCAGAATTGGAGTAAACTTGAAGACTTGGTACGTGATTTGTCAACTCAAATGGGCAAGGTGCTGCGTGTGTTTACGGGAGTGTATGGTATTTTGAAGAAAAAAACCTTAAAAGGACAAATGATGGACGTCTATTTAGATCCGAAAAACGAGCGCATTGAAGTTCCGCAGATTGTGTTTAAATTGGTGGTTGATCAAAAAACGAATGATTCGGTGGCATTTTTCACTTCAAATGATACCGAAATGGATGAACAACAGCAAAATCACTTTGCAACGATCTGTAAAAGTGTTTGTGATGAGATCGCAGCCAACTTTAATCCAGATGTAAAAGCTGGTCTCACCGTTTGTTGCCGCTATGAAGATTTTGCGAAACACATTCAATTCATTCCGTTCAAATTGTCTAAGAGTAATTTGTTGAAAAATCCAATACGTATAGAGCGCTCAAATCGATCGAAATCGCCATCCAAAATGACGAAATCAAAGTCACCAAATCAATCACCAACAAAACGTGATCCCATACTCGAACACTCAAAATCTGATAGCGAGCTATTAAAATCAAAAAGGTCAGGATCATTACCTCCATCACCAACCAAAAGTCCGTCGGCGTCGAAAGGTAAAAATTCGATAGAATCAAGTGAAGGCACAAAATCACCGTCCAAAAATACTAAAACATCATCACTTGAAAAATCAACTTCACCGAAACGTGCTACTGAACGTTCGAACTCAAAATTATCGAAAGAAAACCAATTACCAGCCAAAGAGGCCACTCAATCGAAGTCTTCACCAATGAGAAGATCTCCAAGGTCGCAAGATCGTAAATAATATCATGGAGATAGATACTGTTTAAAAAAAAGTAAAACGAAAAATTGCAACGATTCATTATTTAAATGTGATTTTCTAACGCAATAAATAAAATTCAAACAAAGAAAATTAATAAAAAAGTTTATGTCTTTTTATATCATGAAGCTTTGATTGAAAGCAACAATAGTTTTATTGTAGTTTATTCCAGAACATTTTTTTTTTTGTTTTTCAAAGCAAAGGATGACTAGATCGTTAGATCCAAATAGAGAAATTCATCGAATACTGGAGTCATATTGAATAAGAAAAAAATAAAATCAATTATCGAGAGCAAATTTTGGATCTATATCGCATAAAGAACCTGAGGCAAATGTCATACTAACAAATAGCTTTTTTGTTTTTTAAATTCATGAAACACAAGGTGAAATATTTCTCTTCTGACGTAATTTCATTTCTATTTGCTTTTCTGCTCACACGCAATGTGAAGGGAAAAGTATTGTAATAAAACCTAAATTCAACATTATCTAAATGGTCGAGATGACGAATCATCATGGGACCAAGTTGTTGATAGTAATTAGTGTTGAAAAAATTAAGCGTGGCATATTATCAATTTTTCCAAAAGATTTTTTGCGGAAAAGTTCGTTTTACACTGCAAGAGTTCATAATTTTTGAACTTATTGAACATTTCCATCTGTTAATTGGGTGCGATTATAATTATAAATTAAACAAAAATGCATGAAAAAACGCTTTTGCTATCATATAAAGGTAATGCGTATTCGATTCTATCATCAAATTAGTGTCACTCAAGTTATCTTGAAGTTTGTCAGTCATGACGAAACCAAACGGGATCTTTGGAGTAGTTACCTCCGTACATTTTTCGTTTTTAATACTTACAGTTATTGTAGGATCATTAGTTTCGGCAAAAATGTGGAGACCGATTATGCCGAAATTTCCAGATACTCCCGAGAGAATAGGAGAAGGAGCAGTTAAGTACGTTAAAGAATTATTGGCACCATTAACACCAGGAGCAAGTAAAAAAGATCCGAATTTGATAATGACCGGTGAAAGTTGTGCTCGGGGTTTGGGTAGCTTATACATTGTGTAAGTAAAATAAGACCACTATTTGGTATAAACTATATTGAAATTGAACGATATTTTTAGAAAAACGCGGGGAAAAACTTTGTATACTGTGTGTTTCAATGATAAAAAGGCGAGTGCGATCTATAGCACGCATATAGTTGACTTGGCCAACAAAAGTATTTAAAAAAAATTTCAACCGAAAATTGTGTCTAAATTTCACATTACTTTTTCAGCGATTGAACAATCCAAACATCTTACTTTCAAAGCAAAATACACTTTGCGAGGCTGGAAAGTGAATTCCTTATACTGTGCTAGAAATCAATGTAACGCATTCAATAAAAAGTTCATCCCGTTTACGCATCCGGAAACGAGAAAAAATAAATATTTTTCGCGAAATCATTTAACTCCACATGCTGACTTTGCATTGGCCAAACATCAAACAATGACCTACTACTTTCATAATTCCTTTCCAGGTTCAACAAATTATATTGTTTAAATCGAATTTTCTTATATTTTCACATATTTATTTCTATTCATATGAATTGCCTCTTATAATTGTCAATAGGAATGCAATCGATGAATGTTGCGGTAAGAATTTGAAAACTGACACGTTGACAATGAAAATGAATTTGTAATGGGAATGTACCATTGAACGCTCTAGAATAAAAACAACGTACTGAATGGTTGTTATACCAAAGCGGAACACGGCGTTTTTTTAACATAGATTTGTTGTTGTAATATTACATCAATTCTATATAAAAAAAATGCCGTGTTCCGCTTTGATATAACAACCATTCTATACGTTGTTTTTATTCTAAAGCGTTCAATTTCAGAATTGGAGTAAACTTGAAGACTTTGTACGTGATTTGTCAACTCAAATGGGCAAGGTGCTGCTCGTAGTTACGGGAGTGTATGGGGTTTTGAAGAAGAAAACCTTAACGGGACACACGATGGACGTCTATTTAGATCAGAAAAATGAGCGCATTGAAGTTCCGTTGATTGTGTTTAAATTGGTGGTCGATCAAAAAACGAATGGTTCGGTGGCATTTTTCACATCAAATGATACCGAAATGGATGAACAACAGCAAAATCAGTTTTTAACGATTTGCAAAAGTGTTTGCGATGAGATCGCAGCCAATTTTAATCCAGATGTTAAAGCTGGTCTTACCGTTTGTTGTCGATATGCTCAATTCGCGAAACATATTCAATTTATTCCATTCAAGTTGTCGAAGAGTAATTTATTGAAAAATCCAAAACGTATAGAGCGATCATACTCTCGATCAAATTCTTCATTGAATTCTCCGCCCAAAATGACAAAAACAAATTCTTCCAAAATAACGAAAATCAATTCGTCTAAAATGACGAAAACAGACAAGGTAAAATTGACGAAAACGAATTCAGTGAAAATAACAAAAACAAACTCGTCCAAAACGATGAACACAACTTCATTAGATCGATCGTCATCAAAACGATCTGCTTCAGTGAGACCCTTACAATCTGATAACACTTTATCAACATCTGAAGATTTGGAAGCAGAAGCATCATCACTAATCAAAAAACTTTCGATATCGGGAAGTAGAAACTCCCGTGTATCATTTCAAGACACTCAATCGCCGTCCATAACATCAGCCGATCAATCAATATTACGCGCTGATGGTTCGAACTCAGTAATCAATTTATCTGCTGAACGTGCATCGCAATTGAAGTCTTCATCAATGAAAAGATCAGCTAGACTCGCAAAAATACAAATATTTCCATAATTGGAAATTGTTGAAAAAAAATCCATCTGAAAATTACAACGAATCAAAATTTGAGATCCAAAGCATTAAATAAAATTCAAATACAACGAGTAAAAATGTGTATTTCTTTCGTATCTAACATGTCGCTTCGACGACTCTGTGTTGCAGTTTCTTCCAACGTATTAAAACTACATTCGAATAACATGTCACTGCTCGTGTGTGAGGCAAGTGTTCAACGATGGACAGGAATTATGCGTGTTATTTTCAAGCATAAACACGAATACCGTTGTGCTTATTACCAATTCCAACGCATTGGGTGTGGATGTGTATAATGCCGACTGACTTACGTACATTCATGTTGTTCCAATATTCGTTCATCGTATGCGTGTTCGTCTTCCACAGAAATATAGCCAATGTTAAATTGATCGTCAAGTATTGAACCATATGAGTGTCGCTTTGACAATAGCACACATTCATAATATTTTTACGTTTCCATTGATAGCATGCCGAATCGGTACAAAATAGTTGTATGACAAACTCCCACATTAGTGTGTTGATCACATTGGTTTGCGTTATAAGCGGCTGTGCATGCGTACCTCAGTTGTTGCAGCTACCATACCACGCGCTTGTGTGTATATATCCGATTGTATCGACGTTGCCGAATGCACACAACAAAGATTGTCAAAACGAACGAACGAACAGACAGCGGCCCGTGTGTATGTTCGGCTGTATTGAGAGTTGATGTATTCAATACACGAACGAATAGCGTAAAGCAAAGTCAAAAATAACGCACACACAAGTCGATTGCGCACGGTGAACACCATCAGTCTTTCAACGAAAGTCGATGTGTTCACATACACACTCGATTTGTGATCGCGCCACAATTTATTCAATATTATTATCGTCTAATTTTCTACTGTACATTTTTTTTTCATATCAATATTACTAATATTTTTTTTATTGTTCGCATATCGCATTTCAATGTGTGTTGTGTCATTTGAATGTTTGCATTCTTCAAAGTGATTCCATTTGCGGTATTAGAATAAAAGTGAATTTTCAAGTGAATGGACTCAGTTGTGTATTCTAATATACGGTGAAACTGAAGTAAATTTGTCATTTATCTACGACAGCGCGTATGTTTTTTTCTTCTTTTGCTGCCTCATTTTGTGTCATAAAATTGCCGTACATGGTTTAGGCACAGAGCCGCACATACATTTACGAATTTTTTTTCTTCACTGTTTACGCTATACGCGCGCGCGATGGTGTAAAAAAAATATAATTTTTTTTTCTTCTCCTGGAAAAAAAGCACACGTTCCATCAGCGAAATAACAACAACATAAAAAATCGTTTGGTGACGAACCAGAATTACGTATACAAAAGAAGAAGAAAAACACTCAACACTCCAGCAAAATTTAAATCGCGGCTTGACATTTCTCACAAGTGTGAATACGACAACGACAACAACGAAGACTATAAAAACGAATGAATTAAGCTGAAAAAAATATCGAAAGAGAGAGAGAAAAAAACACTTGTTGGGCGAATCAGGAACACAAGAAAAACACAAACAAAAATCTGTCTAAAAACTCAAGTTTCACAAGCACATGGACTGCATTTTTCGATCCCATGACATCACTCACACATTGATTTTCAGCGTTAACACAGTAACATTTCAAACAGAAAATATTATTGCATTTTGTATATTTTGTGTTGTGAAAAAAAAAACTCGATGCGGGGAAAAACAGTGATTTCTATATCGCACGAAATGCCTTTTAGTGAAACGAGCAATTGATTTATCATCTGACCGAAGAAAAAAAATCGAGATTCGACGATTGATTTGTGAATGAAAGCGAGTTCAGTTAGTGTAAATGTAACGAACGAAAAAAACATCGTCAAATACAATAATTAAGCGATAACAAGCAAGTGAATGATAAAAAAACATCGAATTGACCGTCTCAAATAACATAATATTCATAGTTTGTCAACTTTCGGTGTAAACTATTGATCGAGCACGAAAAAAATAAAAGTAAAAACAATATCGTGAGTGTAACATTTATCGGTTGAGCGATCCAATTTGGATGAATGAACATTTAGTTTTTTTTGATCGTTTTCAATTTCAAACAAATGTGTTTTATTTACCACACATTCCAAAAAAGCAAATCGTTTTGTTTTTAGCACAAATTCCGTCAAATGTATGTGCAGTGTGTATGTATAAAATAACAACAACCGATACCAGTGATTTGAACATCGACAACGGCAATGTAAATAAATGCATGTGGTTTCATTTGTAACTGTTTGTTGACTCATCCTCAATAGACTCTCCACATCGGCGTTGTTCATGTTGGTGTTTTTTTTATTGAATAAAAGTCGAGTTTCAATTTAACACTTCGCATTAAACGATATTATTGGAATTGGCAAGAAAGAGAGAATGAAATATTTATCGTAGAATCATTTAAACCATGACTAAGTGGCATAAATACAATAAATTCACATTCGACGACAGTTTCATGACGAATTCACATTTGTATTAAAACAAACGCAACAAGTTTAAGCATAAGCATCACATCGCATTGTGTTGAGAGAGAAACAAAAAAAGAGTGGCGAGTGTTTATGTGTTGTTTGCGCGCACATCGTGTCGATGCTAAGTGCTGATCTGAACCGTTCGACACAAACTGACTTTACAGTTAACTCAAAGAATTTCATAAACAACATAGAATTATCGCTCTATTTGTAAGTGAAGAAGAAGAGACGACAAAACCGATTTCTTATCTTGACATTGTCAATTGAGTTCTAAATTTTGCATTTGCATGCAAACGTGCAGTGAATGCAAAAAAAGAGAGAATTGTATATTGGTCATATATATTAAACTGAAGTGTATTCGTCCGTATTTTGTGTGTTTATTTGTGAAAAAAAAGAGTTTCAAACGAAAAACAAAACTTTGAGACAAACGTTAAAATAGGAATAAATTGTGTGTGAAATTCGAAATAGAAATTTAAAGAAAACGATAAACGAACGAACGAACGTCTATTGGATTAAATCTGTCAACAAAATCTGGATATAAACAAAAATCTTCATCAATCGGTAAGTGTGAGACAAAAGTTATAAAAATATTTTTTAAAGACATTTAAGGACATAAAAAGTGACGTCTTCTTCATTTCGGTATCGGCTGCAATCGATATTTATCAATTTTACGGCCGAAAATGTGATGACAAAATCAAAGAAAATTCTTTTTATTGGTATTCAATGTTGGATTATTATTCGGTTTATCGGCTACAACTGCGGAAATTCTATACAAAAACGACGATAAATTGAATGAAGTCCCCATCGATAAAGTGCGATACATGAAAATCCACAAACAAATATTTCCTCATCTTTTATGAATGGATAATAAAACCAATTTGGATATATTTTTATGGTTAATTGGCCGCTAAGTGAAATTTCAATATTACAACACATCATTCTCTCTCTATACGTAGTATTCTCTCATATGTGAAGAACAAGCGTTTAGATTCTATCGTGCTCTCTGGTTGAGAGAGTGAAAAAAAAGTAGGACAATTTGATTGTTCTTTCTTCCAAACAATATGCGATGCAATGAAGTCCAGCTCGGCGTTTGAATCGTAAATCAGATGTGTGCAGGTATGCTTCTAGTGTATATAGTTGAATGCGCACAACCAAAGTGTTAAAAATGATTATGGTTGATTTTTACTGTATGCTGTTTCTGCTTCGTTTTTTTTATGGTGATGATTCTCATCTCTTTCGATCTTTCGGAGAGTGTCTTGTTTCGAGGCATGAAGAACGTAACATTGGTTTCGTGTTTATCATCTGCCACATGCATACGAAACTTTTATTATTGAACAAGCAAAGCGAGCGCATAGCTTCCTCGTCGCTCAACATGGACATTTTCATATTATGTTCTTATGTGTTGCAAGACACAGTAACGTTCACATTGAAGCGAAGAGAAACGAAAAAAAAATAACTACGCGTAACAAACACTTATAAATCGCTTTTGAAAATGGATTCGACCTTGGATTAATTCACATCGCTGTTGTTATTTATTTTTCAACACACAACTGTTTCTCTTGACTGACGGCTGCTGCACGCAACTCCGTACATACAACCATTTTGGACAAATACACAATTTGACTTTTCATGAAATTTAATTTTTTTTTGTTGTTTTCTCAACATGGTTGTAGCACAGTTTTTTTTTGTTTAATTCCACTCTCTGATGCAATTTAGCTTGGTTCATAAAACTACTTCTTAATTTATGACTTTTGGTTCTTTTTCTGAATGAAAGTTTCACTTTATTGCGCCCAGAGTGTGGTTACAAAAAACATACAATTTCTTGTGTTTAGATTAATATGTCGCAATCGGCGTGCATGAAATGAAATAATTGAATTTGTAGTTTTATAAAATTGTACGTGGTCCAAAATATGTCACCCGCTAATTTAATTAGTGGCATGAAATGCACCGCTAAAATTAATGCACGGCAATTTTAAAATATTGGCTTTGTGCAGCGTGTGTGTAGAGTGCGCAATAGAGCCAAAAGCGCGAAGAGAAAAGTGTTTATAGCAATTAAAATTGAAAAAACAAGGTGAACAAAAAACCGATTTTCTTTCGTGTATTTGATATTCAATAAAAACATAATAATCAAGCGAACAGAACGAAATTCATGTTGTACACCGCTGTAGCACCAATAAAAAAAATTGTTATGTGGCTATCTATGTGTGTGTGTGTGTGTGTGCCTTTTTCTCTCTTTTTTATATTATTTTTGTTTCACAATGTATATATATATTTTTTTTACTGTTCGAGAAATGTTCGTTAAGGTCATTTGACAACAGAAATTATGTCATTGCTCATTTATCGGTTTGCTTCTCATTCGCACACACATCGGTCGATTCAGGTTGTGCACAGTGTCTTTCTTTTCCGTTGGTCGTGAGTGTGCACAAAACGATACGGCTACCAGTATGCCCCGTACGAGTGTGAGTACGATTGTCATTTTCATTTTTTTATTTTGTCTCATTTTAAGCGAATGCTAGTGCGATCACACCGCATATATAACAATTTGTATATTCGCTTGAGCCGCTTGTTAAACACGATTCATTGGATGTCAACGCGACAGACGAGCAACAATTTCTCTCTCTCTCTCTCCCACTCGCTCACCGTTCATATTCAATTAATCTTGTCTTGGATGGTCACAGCTACAGATAAATTGAAGAGAGCGAGAAAAAAACGAGAAAAATTGTAATTAAAACCGCACAACTTGTTTAATCGCAGACATTCATTGATGTTAATCGAGATGATCCAAGTGAACGCAAGGAATGAGCGTCGAACATATTTTCGATGTAATGAAAAACGACAGCAAAACTACTCAAATATTCGGAGGCCACACAATATTCGCACATTTGCTTTTGGTAAATAAAAACAAAAAAAAAAAATACTGAATGTTTAAATATTTGTAAAAGACAGCGAGAAGAAAAAAACAGCACACACACACATTACGAACGACAACCATTGGCATTGTGTGTATTCAATTTGTCGGTGGCCTGTAAATAGGTCGAACGCGACATATATACAAGTATGTATGTCTATTTGCTGTCGAATGAACTTCAAATATTGGCAAACGTGAACATGATGAATTTGTAATAAAACTGATACACCACAGAGAAAGATATTTCTTATTGAAAAAAACAAACGATAAAAGAGTTGTTTACATTGAAGAAAATGCTTTCTTTGGGGGGAGGGAAATGGCTTTGAACTTCTGTCTCATTATATGTTTTAAATGCATGATCGCTTGCGGCCATTTCTTTCTATGCCATCGTTGAGTTCTGATTCGATTACTTTGTCGATGAATATTACGTCAGGGCTGATGGAATGAAATGAATGCGCAATCGCGCACCAAAAACAATAAACATGAATTATGCGTTCAAATAAACTATCTTGTTACTCAACAAGATCGTTTTCTAATTTACTCAAATTATCCAAAGAAAATTCATTTCCTTCGGCCCGCAAAGTACTCGCATAAATCAACAAAGCCCATATTTTAGTCCATGACTCATTTGATCGCGTTCTTTTAATGTGCGGCACAAAACTTCTTGAATCGACAACTTTTTTTATGAATTTGCTTTTTTTCGGCTTCGGTTCGTTTGGTGTTGAATTCGATCAAGATGCTAGAATCTCAAGTTGTGTGCGGGCATTTGATAAAGACAAGCAAAATGCGTGTACCAGTACCATTTTGTAACGATCATCATACATCTCGCTCCCATTCACGATGCATACACGAATTTCAAGTGAAACACAAGATTTAATTAGCTGTTTATTTCATCGTTTGTTTTCTTCTTCTTTTTTCTCTCTCATTTAAAATGCATTCATGCCAACATCGTATATAGGCGATTGCACTGAGAGAGTTTGGTTTCGATTTCAACGGGGCACAGTGTAAACAAGCTTCAATTACATAAACGCACATTCCCAACCGATCAAAAGCCCGAAGATTGCTATACATTTATCATGCGCATCAGTAACGTTGTCCGCGTTGTCATCGTCAATCGTAGCCAGTTTCAATTGAAAATTCCATGGAAATCGTATTTAATTTCATTTGGACATTAAGTTTGCTCAAATGCTCATATCAAGAGCACTAGATTCAAGATTATTTACCAACACGTCTCTTATTGCCAGTGTGTACTTTGAGTTTTGGTATTGGTTTTCGTTAGCAATGTTGTCTCCTTTTTTCATTCGTTGTGACCATTCTCTCTCTCTCTCTCTCTCTCTCTCTCTGCGTCGATTTAAATTTCTGGTTTCGGTTGATCAGCACATGTTTTATATCACACATTTCACGCAATCATTTCGTACAAGCTTATGATAATTGTTCAAAATGGCCAATCATTTTTCTTCTTCTTCTTCATACCAATGCTCTCTTTATCACACTCTTTCTCACTCCCTAGCTCTCCCGCTCTCGATCGCTTGATCTTTAAAATAAAAAAAAAAGGATTTTCTAGTTTACGGGAAAGTTTCTCGAGCAATTTTTCACATCTAATAGAAACGACGAATCCGTTATACCGATCTTGGCCAAACTGACGATGATTGCAATTCGATGCAAATTATTCGATGTCGAAATTTATTGTTTGGCTTTGGTTGTTAATGTAAATCGAAACTATACGCTACTTTTTAATACCAGCCCAATGCTCTACCACGAAAACACCATAAAATTGTATGTGTTCGTGCACATGTTAATCGGCGTTATTGCCTAAACGTGACGAATTTTAAAAATATTTGCAGCCAAACACTGAACTGCCGTTTTGCGCGCCGCTAAATAAACGCTGAATTATATGGATATAACTTCACATATGCACAAAGTATTTTGTATTTCGAAAAGAAAAACAACCTATAAACAAACGTTTAATATGAATATCGCAAGCGCGCGCGCGCCCGAGTCACATTGGAAGAGCGAACGAAAACACACACACAAACACCAAAAAAAAAAAACTGTAAACACATCAACATTGGAATAATGCACATATTGATGAAACGAAGAGAAAATATTATTATCAGGCAAATGGGTAATACGTGGATTTGATAATAAGGTTAAATGCAACACCCAATTTTTTCCCTTATCTTTTCACACATATTTGTTTTTTTTCTCCGTTCCTCATTGTTCCCACTGCATTTTGGCGATCAAATGCATTGGTTAATGTGTTAAATGGCAGCAGTTACCGCCAGCAAGACCTTAAAAAGACGAAAAATAAATTTGAATAAATTCAATATTTGATAAAGTAGAAAATTACCGTTAATTAATCTTCGATGGAAAGTGTTTCAGCGAACGAAATCGAAAATGTTCTCGGCCACAAAGCAACCGCATGCTGACAGTGTGGGCAGACAGAGAAAGAAAGTGTGTGTTTTCAAATGCCACAGATGAGAGTCAAACATATTAAGTGTGAGACTCATTAGCTAACGACATCAATTTTATTTGTAGAAAGAAACCAAATGGAGAAAGAGCGATTGAGAGAAAAAGAAAACATTTATCATAAAGCACCGAAAACGCACAATCTTAATCCAACCACAAATCCCATGTATGCCTTTCGAATCGG